TTCTTATTCCTTGAAAAACTTTTTTGCCATTGGTATCAAAGGTACTACTTGATTTTTCTTGGTCACTAGAAGTCAAGTTTTTGAGTGAAGAGATTTGTAAACAATATGAAAAGGGTAGAAATAGCTTTTGAAGTCCTACTTCAAGTTTTTTTAAGGAAAGTGTTAAGACTTTATTAGCAAGGAAGTATAAAAACTTCTTGTGAATATCTTTTTTATGTGTGGTTAGAGGATCAATGAAAAGAGTTTTTCCATAGGTCTAGATTTATTTTTTTTTTTAAAAAAAATGTTAGCTTATTCTTGCATCAGATTGGTACCTTTATTAATTATTAAGATACATTCTAGGGACAACCGGGATTACTAGTTACCTATATTGTCTAAGGATTTACAGATCAACGAATAGTACAAGGGGCATCTATTTATATCTCACCCAACTAGAATATGAGAATTATATTACTATCTAGTGTAGAATTTTTCTTAATCCTTAACAAAGTTGAAAGGAGGTAGATGTATACTATCAAAATAATGGCCACAAATTGTATTCCCTCATCACAAACCGGCACTTCCTAGGGGATACCATGGGATGACTTGTTGCTACCCTTTTGGGGAGAACTAACATATCAAGAACTTGCCTAAGATGCTCAGCATCACCAGTGTTGGGGGTGTCTTATACAAGGCTAAAGACCTTGTTAGTGCTGAAAAGAAAAAAGAAAAAAATATGGATCTGTCCTATGTCTTGAATGGGGCATGATCTTGTGTCATGGAACTCCTGTCACTCATCTATTGAGAAACTGTTTTATATGATCCTTGTGTTTTTGTGAGTGGTCGGGTCCATCTTTGCATGCAGTCTATAAGGCGAACAGTCCATGGGCTTGTTTACTTTTCCTTGATAGTTAATGATTTAGGAGGTTGCAATATCCTATATTCACCCGTACCAGCACATGACTTATAGTGGACCCCAGGTTCTTATGGAGCTGAGGAAATGCATTCAGACATGTGAGGTGACCAATAAGAGCTTGTTTATCAATCTTGTCCAACACGTTTCATGTCGACCAATTAGAATCAATGGAATTCATGCTACCCGAAATTTTAGGATCAAGCTGGAATAGGTAAAATTCCCCAAAAAGTTATGAAAAGTGGTAGCTCTAAGAAGGCACACAACTATTCAAAGAGTGAAAAATGAGTTCTTTGGATGGGAGAGATCCTCTTTCAGGTACTGTTTTATTCCTCCACTTCATATGATAGGTGGCGGGTACTCTGCTGTTAGTCCTTCTCTCTTGAGGAACTTTCTTGCCATTGATAGTCAAGGTAGGTACTGGACTTTGCAGGCCACAAGAGTCCGGTATTGTTCATAGAAGATTGTAGACAATATGGGATAAAGTAATGGAGTCCTGAAGGAAACCCCTTCAGGTTGGTTTAAAGAAAGTATTAAGACTTTATTAGCATAGAGGTGACAAGACTTCTGCGAATGTCTTTTTTGTATATGGTCAGGGAATCAGCGGGAAGAGTGATTCGTCTAGATTTTTTATAATATCTTATTTTATATAATTTTATATATAATTTAAAAGAGTATATTATTTATAATATAAAATATAATTGCTTATTTTTTTTTTTTGAAGTGCTAGCTTATTTCTATATCAGTTCTAAAACTTTATTAGAGTCAAGATAAGTCCTAGAGACAACCGAGATGAGTAATTACCTGTACTATCTAAGGATTTACAAATTAATGAATAGTACAAGGGGTATCTATTTACATCACACTCAACCAGGATGAGGTAACTATGTGATCATCTAGTGCAGGACTATTCTCTTAATTTTAATTCAGCTAAGGTTTGGAGAAGTCTTTATACATTCAATTCAATGAAGTGATTTACTAGATTTTTATCTTTATACTCGAAAAAAACACTTCTTAGGACCATGGTTCACCAGATAACTTGTTATTATTTCTTATATTTTAGGGGAGCTAACTTGTCAGGAACTTGACTAAGATACCTAGCACCATCAATGTTAGGGATTTCTTATATGGAATCTCCTATTGGCTCTGTTAGCATTTCAAGATTTTTCTGGAGGACTTTTCATGTGTATAATACTTGTTTTGTTACATGAATATGGCATGATTTTGTGTAAAGAATAGCGATCCTCAATTTTTGGTCTTGATTGTTAGGACTTATTTTGTGTCTTTGATATCATTATGGATCTGTCTTAATTATTTTATGAGTGAACAGTCCTTCTTCTTCCATTTTAGGGATAATCAGTTTGTATATATGGGATCTTTATATTACTTATTTTGATCATACTTGTAAAACCTTGTATAGTATTTTTTCTTGATATGGTTGCGATAAGCAGGTGAGATTTAAATTCACCTCCTGTTCGGTATCTGAAACCTGGTTGTATATAGATGACTCATATCACTCATACTAGCCTTATATAGAACTTTGTATTGATTTTGTCATTCTTACTATAGGTGTAATGAGTGAACGGGTTTTCCATATTACCTTATGAAACACTTGATCATTATCATAGAAAGATAAAATCTTTGTACTACCTTGTGGCTTAATTTTTCACTTGGTTCTCATGTGGTATTGAATTCTGGATCTTGTGATTGTGACTTGAGAGCATAATCACTGTGGTATCGACCCACAGGTCTAAAATATAATTGCTTATAAATTAATAGTATACAATATATTGATACTTTTAGATTATATAATTAAAAATTTTTTTAATATATATTATCTTTCTTAATAGAAAAAATAGTACTGTAAATTAAATATTTTCTTTATTTGAGTCATTAGTTGATGAAAAATTTTTAAGATGGATTGATATTTGTAACAAATCTGTATCTATCACAAACCATCTAATTTGTTTTGTTATTATATTTAATACCTTACTCTACTATCTTTATTTAAAGAAAAAAAATAAAACTAAGACTATACAAATTTAAACAGATGTAAAGATTTGCATTACAAAAAAGACACAAAAGGAAAGAGAGGAAATAGTTTGATTATGGGTGACTTAAAAATATGTTACTACTACCATATTAATATTATGGATTGATTACTCTTCAAGGATTTCATCAGTTCAAGGTGCAATGCCTATTCCTTCACTACTTTCAATATCTTTATATTGTGATTCTTGTCTATCAGTTCATTGCCTTTTTCTTCTATACCCTATCTAGTATGATATCTTCTACTGATGTTTTTCTAGATAATAATAAGTCAAAATTTTAAAAAGCTTTAGAACATGGGTAAAAGGGCACTGGGAACTACAAAACTCTCCAGTTTAGAAAGAAGAGTCTTGTTTCTTCCAACATACTCTTTTTTCAGCTTGACAAATATCATACTGTTTTTTCTAAAATACTACTATTTGCAGAAATTGAACCATAGTTTGATATCCCATTGTGGTATATTCTTTAGTCACATAGGATCATTCGACTACATGTTAATATTGTTAATTAGATATGAATAATTCTAAAATTTCTCTGATCTCTCAATATTCATGATAATAAAGAATAGATATAACATTTTTAAGAAGTTATCCTCATTCTGTATTTCTTTAAGCCTAGTCTTTCTTCTTCTTTCTTGATAGAGGAGAGGAGAGGGTATGTTTTTTCTCTTTCACTTAGTCAAAGATGTAAGAGTTGATAATATCCTTATCCACCCACATCAGACATAATGACTTATGATAGATCTCAGGTTCTTATGGAGTTAAGAAAATACATTTAGACATATGAGGTAATCAATGGAAGCTTGTTTACTTTTTTTACCAATATGAGCTCCATTTATTTAATTAGGGTATAAGAAACTTTGTGCTACTCAAAATTTAAGGTCAAATTGAGGTAGGCAAAATTCTTCAGAAAAAATCAAGAATGAACACTATGAAAAGTTAATAGATAATAAGAGAGTGGAAAAGTTATTTCTTATTAACAACATACTTCTGTGATGTTTCTCTATAGTATAAGGTGATGATACATTAGTTCTTCTTTCTTTTAGAACTTTTTTACTATAAGTAGAAAAGGTGTTTCTTGATCTTTTATAGTCACTAGAGATCAAGTTTTTGTTTGAAAAGGAGAGTAAGCAAGAGAAGGAGAAGTAGTTGATAACTTTTGAAACTTCTTCAAGTTGATTTTAAGGAGAGTGATAAGACTTTATTAGTTTAGAAGTATGAAAACTTCTTGTGAACATCTTTTTTGTGTATGGTCAGAGGATCAGTGGAAAGAGTTGATCTTTTTCTTTGATAATTTATAATATATTGTCAATAGTACTTACCAATTTTTATATATAATCTTTAGAATAAAAGTTTCTTTAGAAACTTAGCTTTCCTTTAAAAAAATTGAATTTTTTAAATAAGTAATACTGTATATGGTTGAAGATAATTACTCCTGAGATTGAAATATTAATCCAAGATACTCTCTTGACTACAGGTTCTACTTAACTCTTGAATAAGTAATCCTCTTGACAACCTTCCAGATAAGATAATATCAACAAAGCCAGCCACTGAAACCATTTCCACTTTATTGATATTTCTCAATATCAACCTCCTTTTTTCAAGAATATAGAAACACAATACTCAAGCAGATAATTTGGCGTTGATTGGTACTACCAGTTTGGACTTTCCAGATAAATATGATGCAATGGTGTGAGAAAGCCCCCATTAATAGTAGCATCTTTTTAAGTTCGTGGGAAATACTGGGATTTCACTATATAGAAATGGCAACAAGCCATGCAGTGGTAGTTCATTAGCGTATAGTCATTATTTGTTCTTCACTGTTGAAGAATTATTTTTTGACTAGATGCTTTTGGAACTTATTAAATTACCAAGACAATTATGTAGCGAAGTCACACGACATAACAGTTTGCGCGATTATATTAGCAAGAATTCTTTACATAAAAAACTCACTAGTTTTCGAATAATAATTAATACTATACACTTCGATTTATTTATAATATATTACTACTAATGCTAATTTACCAATTCACTGTAAAAAATATAAATAAGTTACCTTTCTAATTGTTAGCTTGAGGATAAACTTGCCCCACATGTTTTTTGCTCCAATTTTCATATTCTTGATCGTACTTAGGTCCTTCATCGTATACCCAATAATCTGCAGATATTAAACCGACTTCTTCAAGACTTATTCCACTTCCATCATTTAAAACGGCCAAAATGGTTATTTGGTTAGGAGTCAAACTTTGACTAACTGTGTCACCACGGGATCCCGGATTTAAATCGATAAAGAGTCTTTTCATGCACATAGTGAGATCAACGTTTCCGTTTACTACCGCCTCTTTTTGATTAGCACAATTAGCACATTGTGTTTCTCTACCACGAGCAAATATTGATATATAGCCGGCGTAATTCGGACTGGTGATAGGGGTTGAAGGACTCGCGGTTGGCAAATCAAGGAAGACGCGAAGTTGAAATGGTAATCCAACCTTATTTTTCTTAACTTTTAAGGTAAGCCTCCAATGGTATTGCCTGTAAAAGTTAAGAAACGAGTATATTCGTTTAACTCATGATTCGTTAGTAAATTTATGTAGAGATGGTACTCACAAGAATAAATTTGGATGATAATAATCCAACATATCAAGCAAAAGACCGCGAGGATCCACCTTTTCGTGTTGGAGTTCAGGATAATTGTATCCAAGGGTTTTAGTATATCTATGAGTAAAAATAATATTAATTAACCTGCAAACAACAAAATGCACTAATTAGACACCCACCTCACGTCTTTTGAGGTCCAATAATCGTTTTCGGCTTTCCGAAATGGTGTAAGAGGAGTGTTCTCATCAATACGTTTGTTTACAGCTTGAGTGAAGGTACCTTCGGTATCTTCGTTACCAACTATCCACGCTTCAGGATGACATGCCTGCCAAATGGCAATAAGCCGATCCACATTAGCATGGTGAAGGAAGAAGATGGGATCGAAACCAGCAATGTCAGGGTGTGACATATGACCGCCGGTCCCGCCTACCGCCCCATGAACAGCATCATGAGCAACTTCAATCGATGAATAATGACCATAGTTCGAATCGGGTTTTCCATCGGCGGGATCTCCATGATTGCTAAATTCGCGCCAGTTATTAACCAAAAAAACCTGATAAATATTTGGACGAAATACGGAGCTACAAGAAGTAATAACATCAAGATTTGTGGCATCTGCATTGGTAAAGTAATTGGTATCCGGATGTCTGACTGTCGCATATCCTTTTGGTGTATAAGGGCTAGTCGCATCTGGTACATAAGGTCTCTGTGTTGGATTAGATTCATCCCCAACAAGCCCTAAGCTTCCAAGATCTTCCGGTAAAGTATAGGCACGGAGAGGATTTCTGATCTTAACGTTCTTTCTGACTGGGTTGTCAATATTAACGTACTCATCAAATATGACCGAGGGTATGCCATGTGTAAGAGTGGATGGGCTGGCCCAATCCCAGTATGGAAATCTCATTTTCTCAAGTTCTTGTTGATATTCGAGAGTTTCTTTGTTTCCAGAGGGGTAATTTCTAAAGTAAATAATAAAAATCTGTGAATAAATAAAAAAAAACGCCAAAACTAAAGGAAAATTTAATTTAACTTACTGTTTCTCGGAATTATATACAATATCCTTTGCCGCATTATATATAAGCATTTCGAGTAATGACACGTATGGTCGATGCCAAGTAGGAAAGAGTATATCACCATGATGACAATAACCGCCCCAACGACCATCAGTTTCTCCCTCGTGCCAATCAGTAGATGGTATTTTTTCTCCAGGCAATAAGTCATAAGGAACATAAGGGAGACCATGAATACCAGCAATTGCATAAAAAGATGTAGGATCATTAGGACTTCGCTTTTGAACAGCGGCAAAACCTTGAAGAAAAAGATCTCTTCGTTTCTTATATTGAGGCTCAGACATTAACACTTCAACAGGTAGACGAAGTTCAACACTTTCTAATAATTAGAGAATATTCAAAGTATCGGTAAATTGTTTTAACGTTAGCGATAATCCTTGTTTTTTTAACTTACTAAAAGGATTCAATATAACGTGTTTCTTTTTTTCTGTCATGGTGAATCTTCTCAAACAGTTTTTTGGTAAGATAGTGTAAAGTCGTTGGGTTTTTATAAGGAACATGCTGATAATGAATAATTTAACAATAAGACGCCTTACTACTTTGAATTAAACCGAATTTGTAAATTACCTGACCCGTCCCGTTTATTCAAACGATTAATTGGCCATAAGTAAAGTGCGATTTATTTTTGAGAGAACCAAAGCAAAAACAGCAGCATTGTTTATCAGGGAATATTCTCATGCCGGCATAAAATATACTCATTGTTAAATTCTTTATCAATGACAATAAATAGCTGGGCATGCCATTTTAGTCCAGATGCGTAATGAATTTCTTTTTTGAATACTTATAATAACTATTATTGAAATGGTAAGAAACCGGTATGCTTAATTTATTCCACAAAATACTTGGCGCACTTTAGTGTTATAAATATTAGTTATTATTAAATTTAATTATGGCTATAATTAATGATAGGATTTGAATTATTTTTGTTTGATAGTTCTATTAGTTTATATATTTTCATTAAAGTGGACATTTTATATATTGCTAATTGGCATATACTGTATATAGTTTTCTATAGTAAAAAGCTCCAGGTTTCACAGTTTAATTGCAAAGATCCAGATCTTATAATCTGTGAAGTCAATACAATTGTTCATTATTTTAGATGGATAAAGTTGTTCAAAAATTGTTTCCCAGTTGATTTTATTTTTAAGCTATTTGTGAATTCGTATATTTCTATTGAGTTTAATTCATTTATATACATGTTTTGCTTAATTGGTTGTTTTGATTGTTTTCTAAATATTTTGGATGATTTCAATCCTTTTTAATGTGAAAATGATAAGATTATGATCTGATATTTGTTCTATTAAGATACTTTCTAATTCAAGATATAATCAGTTGCTGGTTTCTTTTACAATTCTATTTGCTTTGATTAGTAAGATTTTGTTATTCTCTTTTTTGAATATGTATCTATCTTATTATAATATAATTGTTATATGACAGCTGTATCAGATTTATTAGCAATTCTATTTTGTTTATTCTTTTAATTTGTTCAATTGTAATTTTTCATAGTTTTGTATCAAGTTGTTTGAGTTTATATAAATAGATATACAGTATAGTATGTATTTTCTTTTTACAAAGTCCAATAGCAATTGTTGCTATAATAATTTCATATCTATCTATTAATAATTGATTTTTAATAATTAGACCTGTTTTAAAAAGTTTTTTTGTTTATTTTTTAAATATTATATTGGTTTCCCTTGTACTACTTGTTGACTAGAATTACAAGCTCTATTTATAAATATAATTAAATTACTATACTATCTAAGTTAAAGAATATTGATTCTTAATCTTTAAGAAATACTAACTAGAAACTTAATTGATTTAAAGAGTAAGGTGGGTAAATTAGATAATTAATTATTTCAATATATTCAATAGTATTGTTAGACTCAAGAATTCTTTATTGATATTGAATAGTGATACTTATAAATATAATTTTACTTTTCTTATATTTTGACTTATAAATTTTATTGTTCTAATTATAGAATTCTTATTAGATTGTTGTTATTGATATTAATACAGTAGAACTATCCTCTTTTATTTGTAAAGTTTATAAGTTAACAGTTAGTATAGGTTTCAATAAGTAATTCCTGAATAGTAATATAATGTCTAATATTGATACTATTGTTTTTGGTACTAAGCTATTTATTTACTATTAATTTTTTAATATATTTAATATATACTAGGCTATCATATTTGTATCTTCTAATGAGATCTCAATCTGAACTAGTGGATATAATAAATTCTTTTATTTATGTTAATTAAATTTATTGACAAAATCTTGAAGTGTTTTGAATAATATTGCTTCTTTTCTTTTATTATATCTGTTATATAATGTATTGATTTCATATTATTTAATTGCTTTTGTTATATATGTTAAGAATCTGTTTGATCTATAAGATATGCTATTTTTAGAATGTCATATAGTATTAATTGTATCAGTCTAGGTCATGGAAATTCTTAATATGGTGGAAATAAGTCTCTTTTGAGTTATATAAGATTGATTTATATATAAGAATATTGTTTACTTATAAGTTTTTGATAATATTATGAAGAAAGTTAAATTTTTTTAAAAAAAATTTTAATAGATAACTTAATATATCTTCTTTTTGTCATATTATTTATTGCAGCTATTGAATCTGATGGTAGATAATTTATCTTGCATTATTTTGACTATAATATATTTTTTATATATAGTTTACTAATTTCTATATTTATATATCATATAGATTTATAATACTATAGAATATATTAAGGTAAATAATTGAATTAGATATAGGTATAACAAGGTATATTTTATACTTTGGTTTTTTTTTTTTGGTAAGAGTCAAGTTGGTAAACAAGTATTTTATAGATGGGAAGAAAACATGATTAATAATATATCTGTATATTTTATTTATAATTTATTTTATTATTATTATATTATATAGTGTATTTTTTTTTTTTTACTATTTGTCAGACTAATTATGTGTGCTTTATTAAAAATTAGTATACTATGTATATAAAATAAATCACTAAAGCTAAATCACTAATTAGCTCACTTATCTTAATTATTATTACTCTAAGTATAACTTTAGAAATAATTTATTATTCCATTAGTAGCTCAAGTGAAAACACTTCCAACTACTAATTTCATTGTTTACAAATTACTATTGCAGATATGAATACAAATTTATTCATTCTTTATTATTATTTTGATAATAAAAAAAATATTATTATTTATTATAATATATTGATAGTATTTATTTCATATATATATTGTGATATTATTATTATTATTATTAATTGACTAATAATTAATATGTAGAATTGTGAAGTTATTAATAATTGATTTGTGTAAATATGTAAAAAGTATATTAAAATTATTTATTTGATATATCTTTTAAACTTATTATAAAAATTATACATGTCTATATTTGCTTAATATAGTATTATTAAATATTATTGTTATAATATACAGTACATGCTTCTTTATTATATAGTTAATGAAACATATATGTCTCTCTATGTTTTATAAGTATTTGAACTTGAACTGATTTATTAATTTAAGTTATTGTTTATGAAGCTTCTCTTAATATCCAGAAAAGTATTAATCTATACTAGCCTAAGAACTTTATGAAGTTAATTTTAAGCTTTCAAGAACTTACTATAATTCAATTCTTCTTTTTGTTTTTTTCTTTCTAAAAAAAAATTTATATAATAGAAGTTGATAATTTTATAAAACTTATTTCTTTTATATTTTATAAAAAGTTTTTGAACTTGTTTTTTATAGTTGTTTGATTATAAGGATAGTTTTTTTTATTTTTCTAGCTAGTTTTTCTTTTTCTTAAAAAATTATCAAAAAAGAGAATTATCTGAAAAAATTAAAAATCAGTAAAAAGAGTTTATAATTTTTTTGTCTTATTTTTACTAGAAAAAAGAATTATATTAATAAACTGATTTACAATAAACTTAGAAAAGCCTAATATCAATTTTTAAAGCTTTTAATTAGATTGATATTAATTTATATCTTTCTAAGTATTAAAAGAACTTAATAAATAATAGTTTTTACTAAAAAATTAGGAAAAACTCAAAGTCTACAAAGCTTAAAAAAATATCAAAAGCTTTTAAAAATTAATTAGTAAAGTATTTTAATTCTATAATTATTTTTGATTAAATATTATAACAAGTTATATGAATTTATATATATCAAAGAATAAATAATAGACAATATAATAAGATTCATTAAAAATATTTTTTTCACTAATCTTTTGAACGCATATAAAAAAGATAGTCGCAAAAAATTTTTTGCTTCTTTATTAAAAAGTCTTTAATACTTTTCTTAAAACTTCTTAAAAAGTAGCTTTAAGAATTGCGATCCTCCTTTTTCCTAAAAATTTCCTTTTTTGGCAATTTTTTTGAAAAAGCAAACCTGATCAAATACACAAGGAAAAACAACATATCTTTCAAATCAAGCTACCAAGCTTTGACAACACACATACAACAAGCCCTTTAGAAACATCAAGAAAAGATGTATACATTGTTTTACTAATTTTCTTTTACTTCT